TTCAAACCTGCCACCTTAGGTGTATGTGACTGGCACCTTAGCCACTTGAGCCACAGGTGCCGAGCCATGTGTCCAAGAATATTAAAGAGCAAGATGGTCAATCTGAATATAGAAAGGGAAAGGAGAAGCATGGAGGAAGGAGTCAAGGTGGAGTAATGTGGAAGCCACAGTAGATTGTGAGCTGGAGGAACAGGGTCCCTACCTCAGGTGAGGGCAGCTGACTGGAAAGCAGCCCATCCAAGGTGATGCTCAGCAGCTGTTCTCCGAGGGTCTCAGTCAGATGGCGTGCCATAGTCTGTTGCTGTTCCCAGCTGCAGTGGTTCTCCAGGGACAAAATGACTGGGTAGTCTGATGCCTGGTGATGAGAGGAGCAGATGCTGGGTCCATAGTTTTAAAGCCCTGGCACCTCCTTCTCCAAACACCTGCTTCCTAGGCCATCCTACTTGCTAAGCTCCTCTAACTCCATTACAGGATTCAGTGACAATGTCCTGGGTCTGAAGCCTACCCCTGGGACATCTTAGGATATCCAAATCTCTTACCTGTGCCAAGTCTGACCCAGGTCCCCCTGGGACCTTTGAGGATCTGGTTATGTGTTCACATTATGATTCTATTGTCCTTCAGCCCTACTCACCACTAATTCCTATCTCCCATCTCCCAGATGGGTGATAGAACTTAGAAGTAATAGTTACTAATCAGTTGTAATTACTTCTAGGACTATTAAATTACTAGTAATGCATCCAATACTTATTCATAATAAACTTTTGATATTTGCCTGATGCTTTTCAGTTAAAACCTCTTTTATACATATAATGCCATTCAACATGACCACTTCTGTGTTCCTCCACCCTCCCTAGACCCAGAGGCAGGCACTCTTCCCTCAGACCTTCCTGCCTCACCAATGTTTCCATCCTAGGGCTGCTACCTGGAAAGCATACTGTGCTACTGTGGCTACAACATCTTTGAATAGGATGCGGGAGGTCAGAGTGTGTCCGTGGTAAACGACAGGTTCCCCACTAGGTCCGTCCCATACGTCCACCTCCACACAGCGGCACCCCTGCTTCAGGACCCTGCAAGAAACCCAACCCCAGAGACAGGAGAGGTAAAGATCTGATCTTCCTGGCCGGAGGAAGTGGCTCACTCCTGTAATGGTAGCACTGTAGCACTGATCACTTGAGTGCAGGAGTTCGAGACCAGCCTGGCAAAAGTGAGACCCTGTCTCTATTAAAAGTAGAAAAATTAGCTAAGTGTGGTGTTCCTAGCTACTAGTGAGACTGAGGCAAGAGGATTGCTTGAGCACAGGAGTTTGAGGTTACCATGAGCTATGACACCATGGCACTCTAGCCTGAGGCAATAGAGAGATTCCATTTCAAAAAAAAAGGGGGGTGGGTGGGCACAGTGGCTTACTCCTATAATCCTAGCAGTCTGGGAGCCTAAGGCGGGTGGATCATTTGAGATTAGGAGTTCAAGACCAGCCTGAACAAGAGAGAGACCCCCCGTCTCTAAAACAGCAGTTCTCAACCTGTGGGTCACGACCCGCAGGAACTGTATTAAACGGCCGTGGCATTTAGGAAGGTTGAGAACCACTGCTCTAAAAAATAGCTGAGTGTTGTGGTAGGCGCCCATAGTCCCAGCTACTTGGGAGGCTTGAGCCTAAGAGTTTGAGGTTGCTGTGAGCTATGATGCCACAGCACTCTACCAGAGACAAGAAAGTGAGACTCTGTCTCAAAAAAAAAAAAATCTGATCTCCCATCTGAGAGGGACGTTCTCATCATTCTGGAGAGAACAGTTCTCACTACACTTACCCATCCAGACTTCTTCAAATTGCATTTCCATGGAAACTTCCCTGTCCACTGGGACACTGTTGCAGTTCACGCTGAATTCCACCCCATCTTGCCCCACCCAATTCAAAATCTTTCCATTGTAACCCATCAAACATCACCTCATGAAACTTCTGGTGTTCTTGTTTTATATTCCTGTATAACACTTGAGTTATTCAAAATCTCAGTAAACTTATACCTCATTTTCTGAGCTAGACTTCCTAGGTAGAAACTGTATATTCCACTCATCTCTGTAACCCTTTAGGCTACTAGTTTATTTGCTGGCACTACAAAGCTATCTTGACTATTCAGTCCAATCCATAATTAATAACAATAAGAAGCTACAACTTATTAGCTATTGATACTTGCATTATCTCATTTAATCCTCACAACAACCCAGATGCTATTATTATCTATTTCATAGATGGAGAAACTGACGCAAATAGGTGTTAAATACTTAGCCCCGGAGTACCAAGGGAGGGAACAAAGATTTGATCTCAGATGGTCTGACTCCTGACTTATGTTTTTGTTTGTTTTGTTTTGTTTTGAGACAAAGTCTCACTTCGTCACCCTCAGTAGAATGCTGTAGTGTCACAGCTCACAACAACCTCAAACTCTTTGGCTTAAGTGATTTTCTTGCCTCAGCTTCCCAAGTAGCTGAAACTACAGGTGCCTCCCACAACTTCTGGCTACTTTTCAAGAGGGAGTCTCACTTTGGTTCAGGCTGGTCCTGAACCTGTGAGCTCAGGCAAATCCACCCTCTCAGCTTCCCAGAGTGCTAGGATTATAGACATGAGCCACCTCGCCCAGCCTAACTTATGTTTGTTTTTAGTTTTTTTGTTTTGAGACAAAGTCTCACTATGTCACCGTTGGTACAGTGCCATGGTGTCACAGCTCACAGCAACCTCAAACTCTTGGGCTTAAGTGATTCTCTTGCCTTAGCCTCCCAAGTAGCTAGGGCTACAGGCACCCGCTACAATGCCCAGCTATTTTTGGGTTGTAGATGTCATTATTGTTTGGCAGGCCCAGGCTGGATTAAAACCTGCCAGCTCCGGTGTATGTGGCTGGCGCGCTAGCCATCTGACCTTAGTTGAGTGGTCTGACCTATGTTTTTAACTTATGCTCTACTGACTTCCATATGACATTCTGCGTATTTGTTCAATGTAGGACCTCTGAGTTCCAAGAGAGTTTCGTAGCTTGTGAGAGAGACGTTCCATTTACCCACAGAGTTTCATTGCCATTCTCCTCCCAGTCTTCAGTATCTCCTCCAATTGACTCAGGTAAACAAGGAACCTCAGCCACTAACCTCTCAAAACACCTTCTTAGGCTTGGCACCTGTAACTCAAGAGGCTGAGGCGCCAGCCACATACACCAGAAGTGGCAGGTTCAAATCCAGCCCTGGCCTGCCAAATGACAATGACAACTCCAACCAAAAAATAGCATGGTATTGTGGTGGCACCTGTAGTCCCAGCTACTTGGGAGGCTGAGGCAAGAGAATTACTTAAGCCCAAGAGTTGGAGGTTGCTGTGAGCTGTGATGCCACAGCACTCTACTCAGAGTGACAGCTTGAAGTTCTGTCTCAAAAAAACAAACAAACAAAAAAAAAACAAAACACCTTCTTAATCTGCTATACACTAACAGTGCCTTTCAGTTTCCCACACATGGTCTCTCTCATGCTCTGGACCCCTTCTCTCCCACAACTGCACCGTATATATCCTTCGACGCTGCTCTGTCCATAAAGTTGATCTCCCACTAGGTAGGTGTTATGTGAGGAGTTGATGAAGTAGTGGCTCAAGGGTTGAGTCATATCCTGGTAGATAGGAAGGCAGGCTGGGTTGAAGATGTCTCCATCCTTTGAGCAGAGGTAGCTGAGGAAGCCATCCATGCTTAGCACATGCCGAAGTTTGCCTAGAGTGTGGAGTGGGGAATTGCTAGAGTGAGAAGCTCTGGGTAGGAACATCCTGGCACACCTACAGCCCATGCATGCTCCACTCCAACCCTTCTAGGGTTCTGCCCTTTAAGATGGTGTCCATGCTCAGGCTTAGAAGCCAAACTTACTCCATGTAGTGGGTATCAATTCAATCATTTCTACCCTCAGCAAATGTTAAAGGGAATCATTAAGATGATT